AATGTTTGGTGTTACCACTTACCACACGAAAAATTTTCCACTTTTCTTCCCGTTTTTCAAAATTTCCATACAAAAGAGACAATTTTCTTTTACGACCCATTGCCTATCCAGTTCGATCCAATGCCTGTCCAGTACGATCCATTGCCTATCCAGTACAACCCATTGCCTATCCAGTACGACCCATTGCCTGTCCAGTACGACCCATAGCCTATCCAGTTCGACCCATTGCCTATCCAGTACGTGACCCATTGCCTATCCAGTACGACCCAATGCCTATCCAGTACGACCCATTGCCTATCCAGTACGATCCATTGCCTGCCTGTCCAGTACGATACAATTAACCGTGATGACACAACAATGCTTTGACTCTGAAACAATTTTGTCCCTAATTCCCCTCCATAATTAAAGCTTAAGCCTTATGACGCATTTCGTGGGATGATATTATTTAAATCTAATAATAATAATATATTTATTTCAGATTTCAGATTACAAAAAAACAGTATATTCATGCTACATATCACGACCATATTCTCAAGAGATTTTATGCTGGAAATACCTGATATCAAATAAAAAAAGTCTGCAGAGAGTATATATACAGAGTATTGAAGGACTGAACAGGATAGTTGACGAACAGCAGAGAGTAAAGGCCAAGCGGAAAATAATTTTATTTGTAAATCCTTCTTTCAATAAAACAACGGCTGGTAAACAGATTGACAGAGAACAAGGTCATACAACTCAATGAAGAATTCAAACGTCAAACGCGCTTCCATAATCCTTTGAGAACACGCATATCTTGGAAGAGTGAAAGTTATATACGATTGATATCTGTTTTACATATAAGAAGCAAAGTTGAGAACTCTTCTTATTACTGTGAAGAAAGTCACAATATACACAAATACTTTGTGAGTGCTGAAAAGCTGGAAAAGGATTTTGAACTGAGATAACCTTATAGATTTGAGCATCCTATTTGACATAAAACAATTCTACCAGTATAAAGTCACAAGAGTCGTTGATCTTGATCTGTAAGCTCGACATCTTTAAGCTCGACAGACTATACAACGGGTAATCTGAATTAACTGGAATCCGGCAAGTCTATTCCAACATGGCGACAATTTCAAACACAAGCAACTCGTTCGAAGACAACCACACAATATTTGGTGAATGTTTAAAACTCCCTTACTACTGTGGAAAAGTTGAAAACTGGATGGTAGCAACAAATATATTCTTCATTCTAGTAAACATAATCTCATGTCTTATAACTCTGGCTGCGAACACCGTATTCCTTGTCGTCTATTTCAGAACGCGTTCCTTACGAAATCCGCATTATTTTTTTCTTATGCTTTTGGCGGTCACTGATATCAGCGTGGGGTTGATCTCGCAACCGCTATTGATCGCGAGAAAATTCATGGAAATCTACAGTGTTCACGATTGCGTATTATGGACCGCAATGAGAGCGAGCGTGTACTACTTCTCAGGGATATCGTTCCTCACCATTACCTTGGTCAGTATCGAACGATGGTTCGCTGTCTGTCGACCAATCAAACACCGTCGCGACGTCACGCCGAAGCGGATGGCTGTGGTGGCATTCATAGTCTGGGCAGTGTGGTTTATATTTCCCGTCGTGCGTTTCGCTTTGCCGAAATTCTATCGTGCTTTTGGAATGCTGGTTGGTGGAATTATTGTGGTAATTTTTGTAATCAACACCCGACTCTACCTGAAAATTCAACGTAGCGTGCGGGATGGAAAACTTCGATTCTCCGGCAAAGAACAACAGAAGAATTATACTAAAGGGGAAGTCAACTTCAAAAAGGAAGGACGAATGGCCAGAACGGTTGCTTTGCTCTTGGTTGTGATGGTGTTAGCCTACCTGCCCACGGCTATTGGTTTAACCTATAAAGCACTCCGTGGGGTTAATACTGTATATCTTTTTGTATTTCTACCGCTGGCAGATACATTGGTTCTTATAAATTCATCATTTAATCCTCTGTTTTACTGTTATAGAAATGCCAATATACGTATGGCTATTACAAAATGTATGTCGTCACTAAATACTAGCTCGGTGAATTGTGATTCGTCGTTCAATAATCAGGCAACGTCAAAAATGTGAACAGGATAGCCAAATATTATAGATAAATTAGATCTTTTACAAGTTAAGACATTCATTGTTATCCTGAAATGCCAATAGATACGTATGGCTATTACTGCCAGAAGCGTATGTTGTTAATAACTGCTTTTTTACTATTATATATCACAAATTCATGAAAACAGAATTCGACGTCGTGATCGCCATAGTAGGCAACTTGCTGATATTTTGTTTATCATGTAGTGTATCGTTGACGTTGCTGAAATGAGCAGACACGAATGGTATTAACAACGATAACAAATTATTGAGAACATATTGAGACTTCAAATAAACACTCGACAAAATTCTTTGTTTGCAATCACGTGACTTTTCATCCAAATGACGGGCAATCAAACAACTTGTGGACGACTTTTCTCCTATCAGAATGGTTGTAGCAAGAACATTTATATTTTGAGTCTCTAAACTCGATCAATACATTAAAATAGCCGTTTTTTGTTATACCTGCCCGTCAACTGAAATCCAAAAATTACGTCATTGCAAACAAAGAATAAGAGAAATACCAGCACTTTAGCATGGAATTTGCACATTAATTTTCCTGGAAATGCACATTAATTTAACAGTCATGAGGATGTTAGAGTTCCCTCCGACGCATCTAACCACACCCTTTCATTTTCTGTAACGACGAGGCCAGTATCAACCGAAAATTAAGTCATTGCAAACAAAGAATAAGAGAAATACCAGCACTTTAGCATGGAATTGGTACACAAAATTGTACAAGTATCTGCCCATGCACATTAAGTTTCCTGAAAATGCACATTAATTTTAAGCCGGTTTTCCATTAGGTGGAATTTTGCGCGCGTAGCGGAATTTCTCTTCGTCTTTTCTAATTAGTTCCACCGAGAAATCACAAGACAAAGAAGAATTCCGCTCCGCGCGCAAAATTTCGCCTAATGGAAAACCGGCTTAATAGTCATGAGCATGTTAGAGTTTCCTCGGACGCATCTAACCACACCCTTTCATTTTCTGTACGGACAAGGCCAGTATCAACCGAAAATTAAGCCATTGCAAACAAAGAATAAGAGAAATACCAGCACTTTAGCATGGAATTGGTACACAAAATTGTACAAGCATCTGCCATGCATATTAAGTTTCCTGGAAATGCACATTAATTTACAGTGAAAATACAAAAAGTGTCCCACTTCCGCTTCTGTAGTTTATTGTGATTTACTGTAATTTGTTCTGTTTATAGTTAATCTCTGTTGATACTGGCTCTGTGGTTACAGAACTTACAGGAAATTAAAGGGTGTGGTTAGACGCGTGAGAAGAAACTCTAACATCCTCATGACTGTTACAGCGAAAATACAAAAATTGTCCCACTTCCGCAGTTTGTGGCGATTTGCTGTAATTTGTTCTGTTTATAGTAAATCTCTGTAGTGTTGATACTGGCTCAGTGGTTAGAGGAAATTAAAGGGTGTTGTTAGACGCGTGAGAAGAAACTCTAACATCCTCAAGACTGTTACAGTGAAAATACAAAAATTGTCCCACTTCCGCAGTTTGTGGCGATTTGCTGTAATTTGTTCTGTTTTTCTGTAGCGGATTGGAAAAAAATTTGAAAATCCATAGAAGGTCATAGAATGGAAATTGTATGGACCTTTATTGGAAATAGAATGGATTTTGGTTATCCATAATAATTGTATATTTCCATAGTGTGGATATAGTAAGGAAATAGGATGGATATAGTATGGATTTAGTGGTGCAATTGCAAATTTCATAGTATGAATTTCACTTTTTTTTCCAGTGGCGATTACCGAATTGTCGGCAAATACCGCGATAAAATTTAAATTCCGTACCTTTTATGCAATGAAACTGACGAAAAATGTATCATTCCCCTTTGCTACAAATTATCATATTTAAAATAGATAAAACTAAGTTTTATCGCGGTATTTGCCGATAAGTTGGTAAAACAGAACAAAGTACAGTAAATCACAACAAACTACAGAAGCGGAAGTGGGACACTTTTTGTATTTCCACCGTATTAAACAGTCGTGAGGATGTTAGAGTTTCTTCCTGCGCGTCTAACCACACCCGTCTAATTTCCTGTAAGCACAGAGCCAGTATCAACAAAGATTAACTATAAAAAGACTTTTGGGTAAATTTGTGTAAAAGTGAATTTGTGTCTTTGAGAGAAACATCATATTATCGCACACTTTGACGCATCATTATTTGATCTAGGTAAAAATCATTGCTGTTCGAGGTCAAATCACTGGGTCAAATCGAGTAGATAGCTTCGGAAACATCTTTTTAAGGTTTGTATGATATTTTATCTTTGTAATAATGTGTCGCATCTACCTCTGAAACTGGATTCAGTTTAATATCTAGAAGATCTGAAAATTTAAAAAAACTCTTGGTGTTATCCTAGATGAAAATCTGGGATGGCACGATCATATAAAAAATATAGCCAAAAAAGTTAAGAGAGATATTTCTGTTTTAAGAAAAATCCGTGACTCTATACCTATTGAAGCACTACTGAAAGTTTACCATGCCATTGTCCAACCGCACTTTGACTATTGCATGTTCCTCTGTGTGGGACAATTGCAATAAGGCTTAGAGACAAACTTCAAAGATTGCAAAACCGCGCTGGAAGGATAATCACGCATTCTGGCTATGAAATCAGGTCAGCTGAAATAATGGGTTGGAAAACGTTAGAGCACCTGTGGGATATAAATAAAGCACTGTTAATGTTTAAAGTGGTTAACAATGCCGCTCCCGTGTATTTGTTTTCCCAATTTTCAAAAAGGGACGAAGTGCATGATCGCGATGTGCGTGGGAGGAAACTTAATTTAACTATCCCAAAACCAAACACTAATTTTATGAAAAGCAGCCTTGCTTATAGTGGAGCCGTTGTCTGGAATTCTCTTGATGAGGCGACTAAAACATGTGATAGCTTGGGAGCCTTTAAGAATAGAATAAACTCAAATATGTAATTATATAACTTTAACTATATGTGTGTAAAGATTTCCATATGTTAGTACAGTATACGTAAACCACCGTTTTTTATCCTTTATATATATAATAACTGTTGTAAATATTTATTGTGCATGTACACGGCTCCCAGGAAGAGCATTTTGTAATGATGAGACACCGTGTTTTTAAATAAAGTTCACTAACTAACTACCTACCTACTATAAACATAATATATTTTTAATGATTTACTGTAAGTACTGTATAATGTAAACTAAAAACCTAAACTGGTGTTAATCCGTGTTGTCTAATATTTCTGGCATTTTACTTCAGACCAGAAAGATCTCTGACTCTGTGTATTAGTACTGTATTAGTATAGGAAAAATATTACTGAAAAACAGTAGGTTTGGAAAATCTTCTTCGAAGAAACACGCGTTGTTATAGCAGGCAGTTGCGAAATTTGTGAGCAGATGTAAATTATGCGCATCATTTGCGCATGTGCAGAACTACGATAATCATGCATTTCGCAAGATATCCAGTCCTTCCAATTAATCCTTAATCGTGTTTAGCCCATTGAGCGCCAGGTTTCAGGTGCTATTATTAAATTTTCCCAGAATCTTGTTTGCACCAGCTTGAAGGACTTGAAGGTCTGCACCGGTTTTGGATGAATGCATGGGCCAAAATGTCGAACCATGCACTTTGTATAGGTAATATAGATAGTCATGCAGGAGTGAGTTTTTCAAAGCCTACCCGAAAATTGAAGTCTTTGAAAAACTCACGAGTGTATGTTTTTTTCAAATTGCACGAGAAACAATACTATTACTTGTTAATAAGTCAAGTGTATAAGTATCGTGTGAGTGTAGTTTTATTACTTATTAATTCAGATTTGATAAAACTATATTGAACTTTGACAGAACATACGGACAGAAAGACAGTGATTGACAAGTAAAGAAAACAACGGATTCTGGAAGACGCTGGCAAAATATACACAAATACTTTGAGTCGTTGACCCTGATCTTTAAAGCTCGACAGACTATACAACGGTAATCTGAATTAACTGGAATCCGGCAAGTCTTTTTCAACATGGCCACAATTCCAAACACAAGCAACTCGTTCGAAGACAACCACGCAATATTTGGTGAATGTTTAAAACTCCCTTACTACCGTGGAAAAGTTGAAAAGTGGATGGTAGCAACAAATATATTTTTAATTCTGGTAAACATAATCTCATGTGTTATAACTCTGGCTGCGAACACCTTATTCCTTGTCGTCTATTTCAGAACGCGTTCCTTACGAAATACGCATTATTTTTATCTTATGCTGTTAGCGGTCACTGATATCAGCGTGGGGTTGATCTCGCAACCGCTATTGATCGCGAGAATATTCATGGAAATCTACAGTGTTCACGATTGCGTATTATGGACTGTAATGCGAGCGAGCGGGTACTACTTCTCAGGGATATCGTTGCTCACCATTACCTTGGTCAGTATCGAACGATGGTTCGCTGTCTGTCGACCAATCAAACACCGCCGTGACGTCACGCCGAAGCGGATGGCTGTGGTGGCATTCATAGTCTGGGCAGTATGGTTTATATTTCCCGTCGTGCGTTTCGCTTTGCCGAAATTCTATCGTGCTTTCGGAATGCTGATTGGCGGACTTATTGTGGTAATTTTTGTAATCAATGCCATACTCTACCTGAAAATTCAACGTAGCGTGCGGGATGGAAAACTTAGATTTTCTGGCAAAGAACAACAGAGGAATACCAATGGGGACGTTAACTTCGAAAAAGAAGGACGAATGGCTAGAACGATTGCTTTGCTTCTAGTTGTGATGGTGTTAGCCTCCTTACCCACTGCTATGGGTACAACCTATAAATCACTCCGTGGGGTTAATACTGTATATCTGTTTGTATTTCTACCACTAGGAGATACATTGTTTCTTATAAATTCATCATTTAATCCTCTGTTTTATTGTTATAGAAATGCCAATATACGTATGGCTATTACAAAATTTATGTCCTCACTAAATGCTAGCTCAGTGAATTGCGATTCGTCGTCCAATAATCAGGCAACGTCAAAAATGTGAACAGGATAGCCAAATATTATAGATAAATTAGATGTTTTACAAGTTAAGACATTCATTGTTATCCTGAAATGCCAATAGATACGTATGGCTATTACTGTCAGAAGCGTATGTTGTTAATTACTACTTAATTATACTGTTATAACAAATTTATGACAATTTATGGCCATAGTGGGCAACTTGCTAGTAATATTTTGTTTATCATGTAATGTATCGTTGACCTTGCTGAAATGTGCAGACACGAATGATATTAACAACGATAACAAATTATTGAGAACATACTGAGACTTCAATAAACACTTGATAAAATTAGAGAAATACCAGCACTTTAGCATGGAATTGGTATACAAAATTGTACAAGCATCTGCCCATGCATATTAATTTTCTGGGAAATACACATTATTATAACAGTCATGAGGATGTTAAAGTATCCTCCCACGCGTCTAACCACACCCGTTTAATTTCCTGTATAACGACAGAGCCAGTATCAACAATCGATTAACTAAAAGACTTTTGTGTAAAAAGTATAAATTTGTGTTTTTGAAAGAAACATCATACTGTCGCACACTTTAACGTATATAGAGCGCTTGCACTCATTCCCCATCAGAGCGCTTATATAGAAGCTTTCTACATATACAGTGTGTATCAAAATAATTCGAATCCAAATTTGGCGTGTAATAACGCAGAATATATTTGACAAATTCGGTTGGTTTTTACACCATTGTTAAGTTCATTTATTTACCTTTCAAATGACATGCTGTACGCGTCATTTAGTTGGAAAATGAAGGAGTGTTGCTTTGACAAAAAAAGTCCATAAAAATCACAATTTTCCGCCGATGGGAATTGGACATTTTTTCTTTCAAAGTTAGTCCCACAAGGCTTTGAAATGCTAATCATCACTGAAAACTTAAATGCAAATTTAACGCGAATTTCTTCTCGTTCAACATGTTGAAGGCATAGGAGCTTAAATCTCTTTAAATGAAAACGAATTTATTAATTAAATTTGCATTATCTTTTGTTTGTACGTCTCACTTCGAATTCCCATCGGCGGAAAAATTTGATTTCGAGCAACCAGTTTTAACACACGATTTCTTGCTCATTTTTTATCTTATTGATATAAGAACGACATAATCGGAAACCTAATAGGCTATTCTTAATTGCCATATAAAAATTATATGGTTTACTTTAGTATTTTATAAACAGCAGTCTGTCAAATTTGGATTCGAATTATTTTGATACACACTGTATAAGCGCCCTGTTCCCCGTGGACCAACTCAACAAAAACCATGGCGGCCACGTTGGTGTTCCAGACAAAAGAGTCTAATTAAAATTCTTTTGAATTGGAACAGCAACATGGCGGCTGTGACGTTATGTGTAAAAGCTCTATATCATTATTTGATCTACGATAGCTTGCTAAATACATGACTAGGTCGAAAACATCTTTTTAAGGTTTACATGGTATTTTATCTTGTAATAAAGTATCGCATCTACTAAGCATCTACCTTTGAAACTGGATTCAGGTTAATATCACACAAAGGTATTGGAATTCGTTCATAATTATTGGCTTCATTTTTAGCTGCGGCCTTAAGTTGTGAACATATCGTCAAATTTCCAGCTACCGTGTCATCACTATCTTGTATTATTAAAACTGTCTTAGCTCGTTCTTCAATTCGTCCTTTCAAGATGTATTTCACATTTAACTTTAATTTTTCATTCCATGCTTTGTCTTTTTCTTTGCTTATTTTCAAGGCTACCATATTGAACACGTGGGGCATGATACCGACACCTGCCGTTGTCACGACTTGAACTGCAGCGGCAATGTGAAATGCATGAAGCATGTTCACTAGCTCAAAAATGCCACACGAGAAGGCAACAACCCACAATACTTTCAAAATAAAATAAAATATGTTTGTATGGTAAGGTAAAAATTTCTCTCTAATTATTTCATAAACCTCTTTTGACACCACAGGTAATGCTGTTTCGTTTTGTCCCGGTAGATTGCTGGTATTTCCTTCATCATTATCATCGCCTTGTAGATTGCTGGTATTTCCGTCATGATTATCGCCTTGTCTGTCCCGGCATGCATCGTAAATTATTCGCTTTAATTCCAAATATTTCTCTTCCAGTGACTTCCAATAACTATGACAATAGAACGTTAAGACAGAAGCACATGCAAAATAAGGAATGAAGAAATTAAGATTTAAAAAAAGTCCCAACAGAAGAGAATGTATCGCGAATACCAATATGAAAAGAATTTGAATTATCAAAAATACAAAGCTGAGCATGGTTAGACCATTGTTGAGGCAAATTAACACCTTTTTCCAAGATGGTGTGTCGGTATCAGCGTCAGTGTGCATGTATTCTGACTGCAATAGAAGCCATAGGATTGTAAACGTTTGATAACAAAAAAAACATATAGATTGTGTAATAAGAAGTAAAGGAAAGAGAACACAGACTGAAAGGAGGCAAATCCCTATCCTTTTTAAACTTTTACGAATAGGCTGTCTACGTTCATGTTCACGTTCAGAACCCATTATTATATTCTTCCAAAACTTTAGGTTAAATGGCAAAGTTACGCAATTAACACAGTCACCAAAGTTGTGACAACAAAAGGGTGGAATGTTTTGCACGGGATTTCCATTTGCTCTTTTCTCGAGAATTAAAATTGATATCATGGGTGTCAGGAAAACACGTGAAAACGGTATCGATAATGTGGAGTAGAGCACGACATAACGCGTATATTGAAATACAGGATTCGGAATATAGCACCAGGTGATATATGTTAAGAACCACATTATTATTAACCTACGAAAAAACGATATTACCCAACCTTTTTCTTCCCAAAAAATTTTAAGAAGAAGAGAAGTGGGAGACATCAGGTTATCCTCAAGCTTATAATATTCGGGATGTTTTAGGTCAAACAAAGTATAAGATAAAAGAGAGAATAGCAACCACGAAAAACAAATTGGAAAGAGGAAGAACAACATATACGTGGTATACAATAAATAGTAATCATTATGCCAGTAGAGTTTCGTGAAGTCGTCAGGTTTGCAAAGTCGGGTACTACTATCACGACGATTACGCCGGCGCGGAAATGAATAGCAAATTTTGTAATCTGTTAGCTGCTTCATGTTACTGACAATTCGCTCGAAAATACTCTTGGCCACAAACTCGTGTATAATCAGTCGTTTAGTTTTAGTGCAGTCTTTAGGACTTTCGTGGACACGTAATTCGACGTTTTTTCTTCCAGCATTCAAAGTCCACGTGACAAAGCCATTAAATTCTGTGTCAAGTGTACGTATAATTTCACGGCCAATGGGATTCACTAATGAAATTTCAAAGTCTCCGAACAGCTGGTTGTTGTAATTGTTACCAAAGAAGGGATGGAGATCCACTATGTTGACGGAATCACTTTTCGTTAGCTGAACAACCTGGGCGACCTCACTGTCTTCCATTTCGAGAACGCAATCTTTGAAAACAGAACTATTCGACGTCTTGGTCGCCATGGCGGGCAACTTGCTGATATTTTGTTTATCATGTAATGTGTCGTTGACGTTGCTGAAATGTGCAGACACGAACGATATTAACAACCAAAAACATATCATTGAGAACATGTTGAGACTTCAACAAACACTCGATAAAATAAGAGAAATACCAGCACTTTAGCATGGAATTGGTATACTACAATATTGTACAAGCATCTGCCAATGCACATTAATTTTCCAGGAAATGCACATTAATCTAACAGTCATGAGGATGTTAGAGTTTCCTCCCACGCATCAAACCACACCCATTTAATTTCCTGTAACCACAGAGCCAGTATCAACAAAGATTAACTAAAAGATTTTGTGTACAATTTGGGTAAAAAGTAAATTTGTGTCTTTGAGAGAAATATAATAAAGAAATCATTGTTATTCGAGGTCAAATCACTGGATCAAATCGAGTCGATAGCTTGCTAAGAACATGACTGGGTCGAAAACATCTTTTTAACGTTTATATGACAATTTATCTTTGTAGTAATGTATCACATCTATCTCTGAAACTGCATTCAATTTAATGTCTTTCAGATCTGTCATGAAACTAAGAATGATGGTGGTTAAATGAAATCTTTTACAAGTTAAGACATTCATTGTTATCCCGCTGAAATGCCAATATATACAGTACCGTCAGTACATATGACTATTACTGTCAGAAGCATATGTGTTCAAGAACATATTGAGGCTTCAACAAACACTCAATAAAATAAGAGAAATACCAGCACTTTAGAATGTAATTGGTATACAATATTGTACAAGCATCTGCCCATGCATATTAATTTTCCAGGAAATGCACATTAATTTAACAGTCATGAGGATGTTAGAGTTTCTTTCTTAGAGTTTCTCTCTTTCTACAGTGATAATTGATAAGCCAAGAAAACAACAGATCCTGGAAGGCATCAAGATACTGGAATAATACACAAATATTTTGAAACCAAAGGAACAAAGGATTTTGAAAGATAACAATCATTTGAGTATCCTGCCTGACATAATATATGGTAATCTGACACAATGGTAATCCGAATCAAGAATCCAGCAAGTCTATGAGAATACTAAAGAGGAAGTTAATTTCAAAATAGAAGGACAAATGGCTTCTTTGCTCCTAATTGTGATGGTCTACCTACCTATATATCTACCCACTACCAGTACTATAGGTACCTATCTACCCACTGCTATAGGTTTAACCACAACTGGATTTTAGCTAAAATGCTAGGGGAGGTTTCCTGGGACGCTGAGCTTAGACAGCATATAGCCCCCTGAAGTGGACTATGCGACATATACATTTACTGTAAGTACTGTACATATCTATAAATGTATTTATATATCCAATTTCACCCCTCGCTACAACACTACAAACTAGGTTCTTTCGAAACATTGCATTAAACAGGTAATGGACACAAAAATGAATGAGTATCACTTTTTAAATTTTGTAACAGAACTTTGTTACAAAGTGTAGACCCTAAGGAACACATGAAAGTTTAGTAACAAACATAAAAGTTTAGTAACAAACATGAAAGTTAAGTGATTCTGATCCATCATCTGACCATTTTCAAATCTCAGGGGAGGTGCAAAACGATCTCAGAGGTAGTCAAACCTCATTTGGACTACATTTGAAAAGCAACAACTCCCCCCCCCCCCTCGTCAAGGACTCTCAATTTCCAACGGGGGTAATTAGTCATATTTTCCAGACAGGTAATTGGGAAAAAAATGCTGTTTCCAGAGGGGTTAAAATGCACTTCCAGAGGGGGTTCAAGCCTCTTCCAGAGGGGTCAATTACACAGATTTTTTTGCATTCCAGAGGGTATAATGTATCAATCAATTCAAAACTTCACCATCCCCCCCCCAGGAATTTGAACTTTTTGAAATTTGACTGATCAAATTCTCCACCCCCTGTGCAAGAAATGTCTTCAAATTCCCCACTGTGACAAGGAATTAAGCGTTCAAATGCCCCACCTTCATATGAAAATTATGAAACAGTCAATACAAAAAGTACAAAATATATGGAAATGTTTTTCGACAAGATAGCGAAATTCACATAAAAAGTTTGGATACCTTGTGGAAATTTAACAGTTTTACACAATTATGTAGTACATACCTCCAAATGAAGCACATAGATTTTCCATGCCCGTTTCTTTGAGCCAGTTTCACAAAATTGAGGCTGTTTCCCTCGAAATCTGAGAAAA